GAGATTGTCAAAATCCATGTGCTTCAGCTAGTTGAAATGGATATAAAGCAGCCAATTATGATACATCACTGCAAACAGTGGCTAATGACAGATGATTTTTCAGACATAATAATCTCGTTTTCAAGTAAACAAAATTATAAAGGCAGCCCAGCTATCAGGAACCTTAGCTGCTCACCTAATAAAAACCACAATCAAATCAATACCATGCTTTTAGATTCTAGGAGGCACAAATTTGTGTAGTTCTCTTGTTGAGCCCGGTGACAGATTAGAGAAACCAAAAGGTCAGCAGTTGCATATTGGTGACTGAACTATTAGAAATTGAAGATGGAGAGGGGGAGCATTTCAATTATCCCCATCATACAAACTGTATTGTATAGAAACTACTAACTCTAAAGGAGACGCTCTCAGCACCAACAACTGCTGCATAATTCTGTTAAGTTGTTATAGTTAAGCTGCTTACAGTAGCTTCAACTCTTATACTGTGTTCACCATTAACGTTCTATACTACTTTAGATCTTTGTTAGCTACCAGTTCATGTTATAGAGCTGGAAAGGGACTTTGGAGATCTTCTAGTCCCGTGATGGCGAACCTATGGCACATATGCCACAGGTGGTACGCAGAGCCATTTGTTAGCTGACAGGAGCCATTGCCCTGTCAGCTCCCGCGCATATAAGCGCAGTGGCCAGCTGACTTCGCCCTTCATTTTCGACCATTTTCCACCCTCCAGAGGCTTCCCTGAAGGAAGTTCGGGAACAGACTTATGAGTTGCCCATAGGGCCATTTTTTGCCCTCCTGAGGTTTCAAGGAAGCCTTCTGAAGTCTCTGGAGGGCCTCCGGGGGGCGGGGGAGGCCATTTTCTCCTTCCCCAGGTGCCCAGAAAGTCTCTGAAGCCTGGATAGGGCAAAGAAACGGGTCTATTTTGCGCAAAAAGTGTGGGCAGGGCGGGGTTCGTGCATACATGCACGGGGGGGGGGGCGTGCACATAGAATTATGAGTGTGGGCACACTGCTTTTGGTTACTCCTGTGTTGGAGCAACTTCTGGAGACAAATCATTCCACTCATTAATTGTTCTAACTGTCAGGAAATTTTTCCTTAGTTCTAAGTTGATTCAAGGTTTTGGATGGGAAATAAAGTCCCAAATTATTTAGAATTAGAGCATCTGTTTTCTCTCATCTATATTGGGATCTGTGAAAGGTAATTTTCCAGCTGTTTTTCAGAACAGAACTAGAAAGCTTTTCAGCAGTAACCTTCAAACCATAGAATCCTTTCTCCAGGTTTGGTAAGGTTAGTGAGAATAAGACTCCAATTGATATAGTCTTTGACTTGTGACCACAATTGAGCCCAGAAATATGGTCATATCTCAGTCCAGTCATTAAGCGAGTCACCATATGACCATGCTCAATTTTATGACGGTTTTGTGCCAGCTGTTAAACAAACATTACAGTCATTAAGTGAAGCTATTATACCCAATGGATGTTTTTTTTTGCCAGAAATCGGAAGTGGTATATTCATTTCACTGTAGCTGGTATGTGATCAATAAAACAGCAAGTTGTTAATTTTAATGGATCTTGTGTTCTTTGTTCTTCTAGATATATTTATATTTATTTTTAACTTGTCCTTGTTGGCATAAGTAGCACAGATTTCCCATTTAATCCAATTAAAGTATAGTGGATTTTATTATGTTTTTCTTATATTTTGTGGTTTTGCTATTGGTATGCTGCCTAGAGCCCTTTAGGACAGGATGGATTATAAGCACTGCCCATTAATTAAATATTTTCCGGCAGCTATATTCATCTCATTGATACCCAAAAAGAAATACAGCCTCGCATTTCCAATTAGTGATGCAAATCTGCTTCTGACAACATAAATGGGATTTGGGGAAAAATTGTGCTGCCTTCTGTACTGCAAGCGGATGAAAAATATCAGCTCAATAAAAGCAACTCTGCCTTTGGAATGTTTTAGGAGATCCACACATGCTTTTGAATGTATTAAGAACTTGTTATGTGACATCCTCCTTTATAATGTCTTTTCAAATTACAGAAGCGCTTAGTAATTGCTAGGAGATTTACAAACACCAAGAAAACAAAAAGCTCACATATTCCCTGCTTAATAAGCTCGGTCAATAAAAATGAGTGCTGAAGAGCATTCATTATTACATTTTGTAGTATACAGTGATGGAAACATGAGCTTCTGGCAAGTGAGTTCAAGGTTCAAGGTTTATTACACTTGTATGCCGCCCTATTCCCGGAGGGACTCAGAGCGGCTAACAA